TTTCCCCTTAAATATTGCTTGTTTTCATGGAAATCACTGTTTTTCCCCTTAAATATCGCTTATTTTCATGGAAATCCCTGTTTTTAACCTTAAATATCGCTTATTTTCATAGAAATCCCTGTTTTTAACCTTAAATATCGCTTATTTTCACAGAAATCCCTGTTTTTCCCCTTAAATATCGCTTATTTTCATGGAAATCCCTGTTTTTAACCTTAAATATCGCTTATTATCATAGAAATCCCTGTTTTTCCCCTAAAATATCGCTTATTTTCATGGAAATCCCTGTTTTTCACCTTAAATACCGCTTATTTTCCTAGAACTCCCTGTTTTTAACATTAAATATCGCTTAATTTACAGAAATCCCTGCTTTTAACATAAAATATTGCTTATTTTCATAGAAATCCCTGTTTTCAACCCTAAATATCACTTATCTTCATAGAAATCCCTGTTTTTAACCTTAAATATCGCTTATTTTTAAGGAAATCCCTGTTTTTTTTTACCTTAAATATGGCTTATTTTCATGGAAATCCCAGTTTTTAACATTAAATATCACTTATTTTCATAGAAATCCCTGTTTTCAACCTTAGATATCGCTTATTTTCATAGAAATCCCTGTTTTTAACCTTAAATATCTCTTATTTTCATGGAAATCCCTGGTTTTCCCCTTAAATATCACTTATTTTCACAGAAATCCGTGTTTTTCCCCTTAAATATCGCTTATTTTCATAGAAATCCCTGTTTTTAACCTTAAATATCGCTTATTTTCATAGAAATCCCTGTTTTTAACCTTAAAAATCACATATTTTCACAGAAATCCCTCTTTTCAACCTTAAATATCGCTTATTTTCATGGAAATCCCTGTTTTTAACCTTAAATATCGCTTATTTTCATGGAAATCCCTGTTTTTCCCCTAAAATATCGCTTATTTTGATGGAAATCCCTGTTTTTCCCCTAAAATATCGCTTATTTTCACAGAAATCCTTGTTTTTCCTTTGAAATATCGCTTATTTTCATGGAAATCCCTGTTTTTAACCTTAAATATCGCTTATTTTCATAGAAATCCCTGTTTTTAACCTTAAATATCACTTATTTTTAAGGAAATCCCTTTTTTTTTTTACCTTAAATATGGCTTACTTTCATAGAAATTCCTATTTTTAACCTTAAATATCGCTTATTTTCATAGAAATCCCTGTTTTTCCCCTAAAATATCGCTTATTTTCATAGAAATCCCTGTTTTTAACCTTAAATATCGCTTATTTTCATGGAAATCCCTGTTTGTAACCTTAAATATCGCTTATTTTCACGGAAATCCCTGTTTTTCCCCTAAAATATCACTTATTTTCATGGAAATCCCTGTTTTTAACCTTAAATATCGCTTATTTTCACAGAAATCCCTGTGTTTCCCCTTAAATATTGCTTATTTTCACAGAAATCCCTGTTTTTAACCTTATATATCGCTTATTTTCATAGAAATCCCTGTTTTTCCCCTAAAATATCACTTATTTTCATAGAAATCCCTGTTTTTAACCTTAAATATCGCTTACTTTCACGGAAATCCCTGCTTTTAACCTTAAATATCGCTTATTTTCATAGAAATCCCTGTTTTTCCCCTTAAATATCGCTTATTTTCATAGAAATCCCTGTTTTTCCCCTTAAATATCGCTTATTTTCATGGAAATCCCTGTTTTTAACCTTAAATATCGCTTTTTTTTCTAGAAATCCCTGTTTTTCCCCGAAAATATCACTTATTTTCATGGAAATCCCTGTTTTTAACCTTAAATATCGCTTATTTTCATAGAAATCCCTGTTTTTCCCCTTAAATATCGCTTATTTTCATGGAAATCCCTGTTTTCAACCTTAGATATCGCTTATTTTCATAGAAATCCCTGTTTTTAACCTTAAATATCGCTTATTTTCATAGAAATCCCTGTTTTTAACCTTAAAAATCACATATTTTCACAGAAATCCCTCTTTTCAACCTTAAATATCGCTTATTTTCATGGAAATCCCTGTTTTTAACCTTAAATATCGCTTATTTTCATGGAAATCCCTGTTTTTCCCCTAAAATATCGCTTATTTTGATGGAAATCCCTGTTTTTCCCCTAAAATATCGCTTATTTTCACAGAAATCCTTGTTTTTCCTTTGAAATATCGCTTATTTTCATGGAAATCCCTGTTTTTAACCTTAAATATCGCTTATTTTCATAGAAATCCCTGTTTTTAACCTTAAATATCACTTATTTTTAAGGAAATCCCTTTTTTTTTTTACCTTAAATATGGCTTACTTTCATAGAAATTCCTATTTTTAACCTTAAATATCGCTTATTTTCATAGAAATCCCTGTTTTTCCCCTAAAATATCGCTTATTTTCATAGAAATCCCTGTTTTTAACCTTAAATATCGCTTATTTTCATGGAAATCCCTGTTTGTAACCTTAAATATCGCTTATTTTCACGGAAATCCCTGTTTTTCCCCTAAAATATCACTTATTTTCATGGAAATCCCTGTTTTTAACCTTAAATATCGCTTATTTTCACAGAAATCCCTGTGTTTCCCCTTAAATATTGCTTATTTTCATGGAAATCCCTGTTTTTAACCTTATATATCGCTTATTTTCATAGAAATCCCTGTTTTTCCCCTAAAATATCACTTATTTTCATAGAAATCCCTGTTTTTCCCCTAAAATATCGCTTACTTTCACGGAAATCCCTGCTTTTAACCTTAAATATCGCTTATTTTCATAGAAATCCCTGTTTTTCCCCTTAAATATCGCTTATTTTCATAGAAATCCCTGTTTTTCCCCTTAAATATCGCTTATTTTCATGGAAATCCCTGTTTTTAACCTTAAATATCGCTTTTTTTTCTAGAAATCCCTGTTTTTCCCCGAAAATATCACTTATTTTCATGGAAATCCCTGTTTTTAACCTTAAATATCGCTTATTTTCATAGAAATCCCTGTTTTTCCCCTTAAATATCGCTTATTTTCATGGAAATCCCTGTTTTTCCCCTTAAATATCGCTTATTTTCATAGAAATCCCTGTTTTTAACCTTAAATATCGCTTTTTTTCTAGAAATCCCTGTTTTTCCCCTAAAATATCGCTTATTTTCATGGAAATTCCTGTTTTTCCCCTTAAATATCGCTTATTTTCATAGAAATCCCTGTTTTTATCCTTAAATATCGCTTATTTTCATAGAAATCCCTGTTTTTAACCTTAAATATGGCTTATTTTCATAGAAATCCCTGTTTTTAAGCTTAAATATCGCTTATTTTCATAGAAATCCCTGTTTTTCCCCTTATATATTGCTTATTTTCATGGAAATCCCTGTTTTTCCCTTTAAATACCGCTTATTTTCCTAGAACTCCCTGTTTTTAACCTTAAATATCGCTTAATTTACAGAAATCCCTGTTTTTAACATAAAATATTGCTTATTTTCATGGAAATATCTGTTTTTCCCCTAAAATATCGCTTATTTTCATAGAAGTCCCTGTTTTTAACCTTAAATATCGCTTATTTTCATAGAAATCCCTGTTTTCAACCCTAAATATCACTTATCTTCATAGAAATCCCTGTTTTTAACATTAAATATCACTTATTTTTAAGGAAATCCCTTTTTTTTTTACCTTAAATATGGCTTATTTTCATAGAAATCCCTGTTTTTAACATTAAATATCACTTATTTTCACAGAAATCCCTCTTTTCAACCTTAGATATCGCTTATTTTCATAGAATTCCCTGTTTTTAACCTTAAATATCTCTTATTTTCATGGAAATCCCTGTTTTTCCCCTTAAATATCACTTATTTTCACAGAAATCCCTGTTTTTCCCCTTAAATATCGCTTATTTTCATAGAAATCCCTGGTTTTAACCCTAAAATATCGCTTATTTTCATAGAAATCCCTGTTTTTCCCCTTAAATATCGCTTATTTTCATGGAAATCCCTGTTTTTAACCTTAAATATCGCTTATTTTCACAGAAATCCCTGTTTTTCCCCTTAAATATCGCTTATTTTCATAGAAATCCCTGTTTTTATCCTTAAATATCGCTTATTTTCATAGAAATCCCTGTTTTTAACCCTAAAATATCGCTTATTTTCATGGAAATCCCTGTTTTCAACGTTAAATATCACTTATTTTCACAGAAATCCCTGTTTTCAACCTTAAATATCGCTTATTTTTAAGGAAATACCTTTTTTTTTACCTTAAATATTGCTTATTTTCATAGAAATCCCTGTTTTTAACATTAAATATGGCTTATTTTCAGAGAAATCCCTGTTTTTCCCCTTAAATATCGCTTATTTTCATAGAAATCCCTGTGTTTAACCTTAAATATCGCTTTTTTTTTTATAGAAATCCCTGTTTTTAACCTTAAATATCACTTATTTTCATAGAAATCCCTGTTTTTAACCTTAAATATCGCTAATTTTCATAGAAATCCCTGTTTTTCCCCTTAAATATCGCTTATTTTCATAGAAATCCCTGTTTTTCCCCTAAAATATCACTTATTTTCATAGAAATCCCTCTTTTTCCCCTAAAATATCCCTTATTTTCCTACTTGGATACCCTGCTTTTAGGGAATCCCGTGGTCCCTATAGGTCCTTACAGGGCCCTATGAACCATATGGCTCCCTTTGTGAGTCTATGGATCCCTGTCTGTCTATGGGTCGCTATGGGTCCCAAAGAATTTCTCTGGGTCTGAATGTATCTCTGTGGGTCTCTCTGCATCCCTATGGTTCTTCATGGTTCCCTATGGGTCTCTATGGGTTTCTATGGGTCCCTATCAGTCCCTATGGCTCACCGTAGGTCCAAAAGGGTCCCTATGCATCCCTATGTGTCCCTTTGGTTCCCTATGGGTGAATATGTTTCCCTAGGGCTCCCTATGTCTCTCTATGGGTCCCTTTGGTTCTCTTTGGCTCTTTATGGGTCCCTATGGGTCCCTATGGGTTGCTATGATTTTCTCTGGGTCTGAATGTATCTCTATGGATCCCTATGCAGCCTTGTAGTTCTCCATGGGTCCCTATGGGTCTCTATGGCTCCATATGGCTCCCTATGGTTCCTTACGTGTCGCTATGGGTCGCGATGGGTTGCTATGTATCTCCATGGGTCCCTATGACTCCCTATGGTTTTCTCTGGGTCCGAATGTATCTCTGTGAGTCCCTGTGGGTCCCTCTATGGGTCCCTATGCATCCCTATCTTTCTTGGTGACCTGGATGAGGGCATAGAGTGCAGCCTCAGCAGGTTTGCAGATGACACCAAGCTGGGAGGTGGTGTGGATCTGCCTGAGGGCAGGGCGGCCCTGCAGAGGGATGTAGACAGGCTGGAGCGCTGGGCCGAGGTGAATGGGATGAGGTTCAAGAAGGCCAAGTGTGGAAAAGTAGGGTACTTTGAAAAATACCTATAGGGGCACAAAGTAAGGTCCCCCTGTACCTATAGGGGCACAAAGGGAGCCATAGAGATACATACGGAAACATAGGGACCCATAGGGACTCATAGAGTGTCAAATGGACACATAGAGACCCATAGGGAGCCATGGAGACACATAGGGACCCATAGGGACCCATAGGGACCCATACAAATTCGAAGGGACCCATAGCGACCCATGGAGAGATACATAGAGACACATAGGGACTCTTTGGGACCCATAGAGACACGGAGGGAACCATAGGGAACCACAGGCAATATAGTGACCCATACAGACCCATGGAGAACCATAGGGACTCATAGGGACCTATGGCAAGCCATAGGGAGCCATAGGGACCCATAGAGACCTATGGCGAGCCATTGAGACCCATAGGGACACATAGAGATACATTCCAACCTATAGAAACTCATAGGGATCCACAGGGAGCCACAGAAACACATAGAGACCCATAGGGACCCATAGAGACCTATAGGGGAACATAGGGACGCATAGATATAAATAGGGAGCCATAGGGAGCCATAGAGACCCATAGGGACCCATAGGGACCCATAGAAAGCGCTGCATAGGGCCCCATAAAAATACATTCTGATTCATGGAAAATCATAAGGACTCATATAGACAAACAGAGCCCCATAGAGACACATAGAGATCCATAGGTACCAATAGGGAGCCATGGAGACCCATAGGCACCCATAGAGACACATAGAGATCCATTCCTATGGACCCATAGGGAAACAGAGATAAATTCAGACCCATTGAATATCATAGGGAAACATAGAAACCAATAGAAACCAAAAGGGACCCATAGGGACACATAGAAAGCCATAGGGACACCTAGAAAGCCATAGGGACTCATAAAAACCCCTAAGGCGCCATGGGCCGCATAGGGAGCCATAGAGATCCATTCAGACCCACAGAAACCCATAGGGAGCCATAGGGACCCATGGAGATACATAGCGACCCCTAGCAACCCATAGTGACCCATAGAAACACATAGGCACCCGTAGGGGCCAAGGAATCCTTAGGGACATACGGGCACCCATTGAACACAATAGGGACCCATAGAGATACATAGGGAGCCATAGGGATGATAGGGACCCATAGAGACAGAAAGAGACCCAAAGGGACAGACAGAGATACATAGAAAACCATAGGGACCAATAGGGACACCTAGGGACACCTAGGGACCCATAGGGACCCATGGAGAACTAGAGGGCTGTATAGGTACCCAGAGGAATACATTCAGACCCATTGAAAATCATAGGGACCCATGGGGATACATTCAGACCCATAGAAACTCAAAGGGATCCATAGGGACCCATAGGGAGCTATAGAGAGACATAGAGACGGATAGAGATACATACAGAACCATAGGGATCCATATGGAGCCATAGAGACCCATAGGGACCCATAGAGACCCATAGGGACACATGCAGAGCCAAAAGGCTGCATAGGGACCTATAGAGATACATTCGGGCCCATAGAAAACCATAGGAAGCCAGAGGGACCCAAGGAGATACATAGAGACATATAGCGACCCATAGAGTGCCATAGAGAGCCATAAGAAACACATAGAAAGCCGTAGGGAGCCATAGAAACTCATAGGGATCCATAGGGACCCATGGAGAACCACAGGGCTCCCTAGGGACCCATAGAGATACACTCAGACCCATAGAAGCTCATAGGGAAGCATTGCGACCCATAGGGACCCATAGAGATGCAAAGGGAACCATAGGGAGATATGGAGGCCCATAAGGAAACGTAAGGAATCATAGTGACCCATAGAGACCCATAGGGACCCATAGGGACCCATATTTAACCAATAAAAAACCATAGGACTGTATAGGGACCAGAGGGAACCGTAGAGACCTATGGAGAGCCATAGGAACACATAGGGATCCATAGAGGCCCATAGAGATTCATAGGGATCCACAGAGACACACAGAGACCTATAGGGGCACATATGGATCCATAGAGATACATAGGGAAACACGTGTCCCGTGGGGACACATAGAGAACCAAAGGGACCCATAGGGAGCCATAGGGACACATAGGGACACATAGGGACACATAGGGAGCCACAGGGAACAATAGGGCCCCATAGGGAAAGACAGAGATACGTAGAAGGCTGTAGGAAGCCATAGGGAACCTTAGAAACCCCTAAGGAGCCGTGGGGATGAATAGGGCTCCACAGCGCCCCACAGGGACCCATAAGGACCAACAGGGATCTATAGGAATTTATAGGGACATATAGGGAAACATAGGGAACTGTAGAGATAAATAGGGACCCATAGGGACCCATAGAAAACAACAGGACTCTAAAGGGAACCCATAGGGAACCATAGAGAGATGTGGCGAGCCATGGGGACCGATAGGGACCCATAGGGAGCCATAGAGACCATAGGGAAACATAGGGACTCATAGAGTCCCATAGAGACCTATGGCGACCCAATGGGACCCATAGGGACCTGTAGAAAACCACAGAGAACCATAGAGAACCTCATGACTGCATAGGGACCCATAGGGATCCACAGGGAGCCACAGGGACACATAGAGACCCATAGGGATCCATAGAGATCCATAGAGAACCATAGAGAACCATAGAGAGCCATAGGGCTACATAGGGACCCATAGGGATCCACAGGGAGCCACAGGGACACATAGAGACCCATAGGGAACAATAGGGACCTAAAGGGAAGCAAAGAGATCCATAGAAACCCATAGGAACCCTTAGAAACCCCTAAGGAGCCGTGGGGGTGAATAGGGCCCCATAGGGCCCCACAGAGACCCATAAGGGCCCACAGTGACCCATAGGGACCCATAGAAATCTATAGGGATATATAGGGAAACAAAGGGACCCAGAGAGATACATAAGGACCCATAGAAACCCAGAGGAAGCCATAGACACCCATGGAGACCCATATTGACCCCTAGGGACACATATGGAGCGATAGAGATCCATAGGGACACATAGGGACCCGTAGAGATACATTCAGACCCATAGAAACTCATAGAGACCCATAGCGACCCATACTGAACCAATAAAAAACCATAGGGCTGTATAGGGACCCTCAGGGAACCATAGAGACCTATGGAGAGCCGTAGGGAAACATAGAGGCCCATAGACGCCCACAGGGACCCATAGGGTCCCATAGAGATACATTCAGACCCATAGAAATTCAAAGGGATCCATAGGGACACATAGGGAGCTATAGAGAGCCATAGGGACAGATAGAGATACATAGGGACACATTCAGACTCATAGAAAATCATAGGGAAACATAGCGACCCATAGAAACCCAAAGAGACCCATAGGGATCTGTAGAAAGCCATAGTGAGCCACAGGCACCCATAGCGACCCATAAAGATCCATAGGGACACATCGGGATCCATAGAAACCCACAGGAAGCCATAGGGACTCCTAGAAAGCCATAGGAACCCATAGGAACCCCTAAGGCGCCATGGGGATGCATAGGGAGCCATAGAGATCCATTCAGACCCATAGAAACTCATAGGGATCCATAGGGAGCTATAGAGAGCCATAGAGAAAGATAGAGATACATAAAGAACCATAGGGATCCATATGGAGCCATAGAGACCCATAGGGACCCATGAAGAACCATAGGACTGTATAGAGACCCATAGAGATACATTCAGTCCACAGGGATCCATAGACACACATAGGGAGCCATATGGTTCATAGGGCCCTGTAAGGACCCATAGGGACACATAGGGACCATCGGGATTCATAGGGACCCGTAGAGACCTATGGCGAGCCATAGGGCCGCATAGGGACCCATAGGGACCTATGGCGAGTCATAGGGACAGATAGGGACTGATAGGGACTGATAGGGACTGATAGGGACTCAGAGAGACCCATAGGGAGCCATACAGAGCCATGGGGAGCCATAGGCACCGATAGAGAAACATAGTGATCCATAGGGACCCATGAAGACCCATAGAGACTCATAGAGTCTCATAGGGCTGCATAGAGATCCATAGAAAACCGTAAGCTGTATAGGGACCCATAGGGACCCATAGAGATCTATTGGGATCTATAGGGAGCCGTAGGGACCCATAGAGATACATTTGGACACATAGAGACCCATAGGGAGCCATATGGAGCCATAGAGACCCATAGAGACCCATTGAGAACTAAAGGTCTGCATAGGGATATACAGAGATACATTAATACCCAGAGAAAATCATAGCGACCCATAGGGACCCATAGGGATCCATAGTAAACCATAGGAACCCATTTGGACCTATTGTGAGCCATAGGGATACATAGAGTCCCATAGAGTCCCATAGGGACCTATGGCGTGCAACTGGGACCCATAGGGACCCATAGAGATACATTCAGACCCATAGAAACTCTTTGGGATCCGTAGGGACCCATAGAGAGCCATAGAGAGCCATAGAGAGCCATAGAGAGCTATAGAGACCCGTAGGGACCCATAGGTACCCATGGGGAACTACAGGGCTACATAGGTACCCATTGGGGTACATTCAGACACATAGAAACTCATAGGGACGCATAGAGACCCATAGGGATACATAGGGATCCACAGAGACACATCGAGACCTATAGGGGCACATAAGGACCCATAGAGATACATAGGGAAACATACGG